GTATCACCTATGTATAATTTTAGGTTACCTTTTAAAAACAGAAAATTTATTTTAGTCTTTAGGTGTCCTGCACTGTATATCTACGGGGAGTCTTAACAACGGAGATGCTTTATGCATTTGCCCATGAAAATATAACAATGTATGCTATTCTCGCAATTCTATTATTTTTTGTTCGAAGAAATATATCTCCAGCTCCGACTCCCACTCCAATTCCGGTTACGATAAATACCGATATAAATGAATTAAAACAAGATATGTTAACTATAAAAAACGAAATTGCAAGAATGCAAAATGAATTGGAATGGAGGAGTGAAGTTCGAAGTAGAGGTTTGTAGACGACTAAAAAATATATGATCCTATTTATAGAGTATATTTATTTAACCGCATTTGTTATTTTTATTTCGTGTTAATAATTGTGTGTAAATCTCAATTTTTTATCTGCATCATAGCACGTGCACTTGCTCGTGATAGTGATATATGTGGTAAATTACTACGAAATAAACAATGTATTTTAGTTGAATGGAATCTTCTAATACTTCTGGTTTAAAATACCCTGGTAAATTTTTATTCAATCCCTTCGCTGTATTCAAAGACGCAACGTGTTTTTCATACGTTTATTTTTCTCAGAATACTGGAATCGCGCATATATGAATTGGGGAACTCTCGACGTGTGGGATGAGTTTTTTAAAGAGAAAACTCGCAATTCAAGTTTGCATGATTCACACTTCTATTTAACTAAAGAACTCGAAATATTAAGAGAGAAATTTGGTCCTAATACAAATCAGGGAAAGAAGATTGCTGCTCTCCTCAAGGCTCTGAAGGTTAAGGTTAGTACTTTCGCGCTTCAACTTCTATATGTGCTACGCCTCTGTGCTACGTGTATGGGGGAAGAAGAGCGTCCGGACATACAGCTTCCGCGACGTGCAGTTAGGAAAAGTCCTGACTTGGCATTTTTTGCTAATTTTTTTTCTCAAATAATAGAAAAGAAAAGTAGATCACGAAAATGATGATGGCAATGTATATGAAGTAGAAGAACTCCACGTCAATGTTGGTGAATTTCCTGCGTTGCTCAAGTACTGTCAAAGTATCAATGAAATGCAAGAAAATCATATTGATGAGGTTTCTCAGTTAGGGAGACACCTTTCTATGCTTTTAAAATGGTCAGTTATAGATAGTAGGCTTTTCGAGACACCTGTAACTCCACTGACTATTTCGAAACCTGCTCTTAATCTCCATAACCTCAAAGTCATACTTGAAGAATATCCTGGCCTACAAGCTGATAATATTCTGGATACATTGATTGAAAATAAAAAAAATCGGAATAGTCCGAACGAAAAGGTGGTTGGAATGGCTTTGCCTAAAAAAACAAAGTCATGATGACTGCTTTTATTCAATAGATACTTATACAGCACTTTCAGCAATCATGTCAGTACTCCTTTATAATCCTGTTCAATGTCGAGGACTTGGTAGCCACCCATCAGAAGCTCATGTCAAGATTCAGATGTGGTCAAAAATATTATCAGATTCGTTTGTTCTAAATCAAGTTCGATTCGAACCAATCTGGGAGCTTAACCACCTTATTCCTGGAAATGCTAAGGAAGGTTCATCAAGATCTGATTTTGCTGCCGTGATTTTGAACTCGAAGCAATGGCAATTCCCTTTTTTCATTGTTGAATTTGAACAGCACGGTTTTGAAGTTCACAAGGATTTTGCAGTTGTTGTTTGCGAGGCTGTATTTGAGCTAAATAAAATTTTATCAAGAACACAAGGTCTTTTGCCTGCTGAAATAATTCAAATTAAGATATATGTTGGACTCATTAACGATATGTCCATTAACATGGGTGTGATCAGACCAATATTTAATAATGATGAGACAGCGGTACTTTTTGCATATGATCAGGACATTGTTTCTTATAACATTCAAACAAGTTACCAACATGATAATGTAAAGAATGTTCTTGATTTAATAGTATATTTTTGGCAAATTGTGTGCAGAGATGGACTAGTCATCAAGGACTTCCTGGTAAAATCGGCAACTCACTATAATCAAAGTATTTTGAAGGCAATACCAAAACTCCCAAATACAGCAGAAAAATCTCGAGAAGCGGTTACTAAGATAACACCTAGGAAAAAGCGGGTCAAGTATATATATCAATGGAATTGAAATCTCAACTTTTTTCGTTTCATCAAGCTGTTGGAAAATCAATTGATAAAGTTGAACATAGTGTATGTAGTGTGATGTAAGTGGTGGTCAACCACTCTCTTATATGGAATCTTTAAACGAGGAAAGATAAAGTTTATCGGTGTAATATGCATCGAACACTTTGCTAGAAAATTTATATATGCACACCACTCCATACATAAAAATGCATTGTAAATTGCAGATAATACATATATGCATATTAATAAAGTTGTAATTTGCCCTTATTTTTATTTTTATCACATCAAGTTGTCATTTGCCCGAATACTGGGTTTTTGGATACATCTATGTTCACATTCAGTACAATAAACATGCTGGGACGACTAATAAAGTGATCAGAATTAAATAATGTAAATTGTTAAAGCTAACAAGTGTTAATTAGATCATGCAAACGTTCTAGAGATGATGAGAGGCTCTGCTTTCCAAATGAATCGATTTTTTAGAGTGCTCTTCACTCCGCGTAGCGTAACTTTTCTTCCCGTTACTTAAATCATAGTAATAACCTGCCTCATCATCATCATCGTCAGAATCATCAGAATATGTTATGTTTGTCTCATCATCAGAGATATCCGAATTAGTCTCATCGTCATCAGAGATATCCGAATTAGTGAAACTAGCTCCGCTAAAATCTGAAGAACAAGAGATATGAGTTGATAGAATAGAGGGAATTGTTGGAATACTTACCTCAGTTTCCGGTATTTTTTTCTTGGATTCTTCACTTATCTCAGCTTCTGGTAATTTTTTGGAATCAGCAGAACCAGAAGAATTGAAAACTTGAGATGAGTTGGAGACTCGAAACGTCTCTTTAGTAGATGTATTTACCTCAGCTTCCGGTAATTCTGAATCTTGATCATTTTCTTGGGATGAATCTAAAGGAATCGATTCTGTAGGTATACTTGTCTCGGTTTCTGATAAATCATCTGAAGAATAATGTGTTATAGACACCGCACTATGCGCGTCCTGATCATCGGTAAATTCTATATCAGGCCTTTTGGTGAAGTGATCTATAATCGTTTGAATCTGAGAATTAGTAAATTTTGAAATAGCATTCGCACTATATGATTTAATATATTTGACCTTATCTAAACCTATCTTTTCGAATAACCTGAAAATTTTTCTAGCTCTTTCAATTTTCTTATATAGTGATTCATGCCTAATGCCAGGATTTTGTGTAATAATAAAATCGTAAACTTGACCTTTGGCTTTTTTCATACTTACTTTATCTCTATTCATGATTTCATCAAGACTTTTGTCAAGTACTATAATAAAACTACTCCAGCATAAAGTTTCGGCCTGATTAACTTTTACTGATTCATCTTCCGCATCACATGCTTTTTCATATAAGTGAGCTATATTTTGGAGGATGCTCAATTTTTCCTGACCCGAGGTCAGCGAAATTTCAGTTATATGATCCGAAGATATGGAGTTATGATCTTGGACAGATAAAGATGCATCATTGTAACTGTTACCTGCAGATAATTCCTGAATAAAGCCTTGTTCACGGGTGATAATAGGGACAGTATCCTGGGAAGTTATGATTGTCTCTTGTTCTCGAAACCTCTTCTCCTTAATGCTCTGAATTATCTCGTTACTAACTTTTTCTTTATACTTTGAATTCAGGAATTTATCGACTTCCTTATCTTCCAATGATTTACTCTCTGTGCGAATAGGTGATGCGGGTATTGGGATGAAAGCTCCTGATGTACACCAGAATTTGAAGTGTTATCAGATATATTAGTTGCAAGAGTATCATCACAGCGTAAGTTTGTCTGTTCAGGAGTATCATTAGAATTTTCCGTTTCAATAGAGATAGTATTAACTAGAGGTTGGTGATCGTTTAAGACCACCCCTTTGGGTCTGATTTCTCTGGTATCATCATCCGATTTAAATGTGGGAGCATCAGCGGAGCTGACATGGTCATTACTTCGTAATATAATATGGTTGCTCTTTTCTTCGTCGGTTTGTAACTGTTTCTGTTCCAATTTCACAACCCTAGCTTTAAGTTCAACATTTTCTGAAGCGGTATCTTTACCGTTCTGTTCCAGTTTTATAAATCTGAATTCATGCTCTTCCAAAGCTTGTTTTAATTTTACGTTCTCAGCTTTAAGTTCAATGTTCTCGGTCTCAACTTTGGAAAATTTTTTTCTAAGTTCAAAAATCTCGGCATTCTCCTTCCTAAGTTCAACAATCTGGAATGTGAGCTTGGAATTCAATTCTCTCAACGTTTCAATTGTGGATTGAGTACTTGCCATTGTTTTATATAAGCTACAGATATATTCAAAAGGTTAAGAAATATTTATATTGGGCACATGAATCCATATCGAGTATGAAAAATCTTGTAATACATCTCATTATTCGTGATTTAATTTTTCGATATGTAACTATATAGCCACTGTGTGACTGCCTTTGGCAAAAGTTTGAAGTCACATGATATTAACCGTGATAATTTTCCTTAGAGCGTCCTTATTCTGGACTCCTGGTTCAGGGTGAAATTTATGAACCCCCGGGGTTCAGGCAAATTATTCTAAACCTCATCCTTTTTAGTAATAAAA